TTGAACATACCAACAGGATTATAAAAAGGCATTATTAATCAGTACACATGAAACTGAAAAATTTGTAAAGGGATTACAAGCGATGGAGCTATAAGTATGACCAGAAAAGATAGTGGAGCTATTAAACTATTGGAAGAATTACAGGAATAATTCTTTATATGACAAAACTTTGGCACCCAAATAGATTCTTCTGAATCTTATTAGATGCATTGTTTTCAAATGCAGTAAGAATTGTTAAAATGAATCTCATCAAAGAGCTGAATTAATGAAATATTTTGTTCAAACACTGGAGCTATTATACTGAAATGTGTTGGTTTGTTGGGATCAAGGTGAAGTTTTGCACATTGTCAATCTTCTGGTTTCAACTGTTCTGGGGTCTATGTGCTTGAGGCCAGCAGTTTTCAGCTGGTGGGGGTCTGGTTCCTTACAGGAACAACTTAAGAAGGTGTGTCAGACCTTTATATCTTCAGGGAACTGGGTGTTGTGCTTCTGCTATGTGACTGGTTTATAGTCTAAGCTGTTACTGGCTTCCCAGTCCAACAGCTATTTCTTGTTTCTACATCTTCACATTTTCTAATTATTAACTCTTGAGCAAGCCTTTTGGGACTCTGGGAAGGACTGGGAGACTAAAGCAAAAGCCTTTTACTTCAAAAATCAGGGACACAGGGGCCTGTATACAGTTTCAAGCTCCATATTACCCCTAAAAAAATGAACATTAATTCCTTCATATAATAAAATTTTCAGTCAGTGTCCATATTTCCCTGTTTGGTCATATTATTTTTATATTTTTTCTTTGTTGAAAATATATACATACTGCTTGTTCAAATCAGGATCAATAAATATCACTGAATAACTGCTGATTTCAGGAACAAGTTATCCTTTTATGTCTGGGGAAGGCCGAGTATATTTTCGTACTTTTGTTGTTGTATTTGAGGGGTTATTTTTGTTTTGTTTCTTACATGCATAAAATTTCCTTGGAAGGACACATAATAACACAGAATGGTTCCCTTGGAGAGGATCACAGAGAATGATCAGAAGGAAGATTTTTCTTCCTATGCACACTTATGAATTTTAAGCCGAATTGAACTCATGATCTACTCAACAACTGGGAAGTTAAAAGTAAAAGGTTTTCTAAAGGCAAGTCCTAAAACATCATCAAAAGGGATTAGAAGAATGTGGGAAGTAGAGGTGGGAGGGGCTGTTTTCCAGACCTGCCACAAGATGGCAGCAGAGTGCCACCAAAGCTGGGTTCTGGACTCTAGAAGGCTGCCTGGCTGCCTTCAGTCTCCCTCCCCATTCAGGACAGGCAAACGCTGGTAGGTTCCTGCCCACCACTATACTGATCTGTGACGCTGTAGCTGAGCTAAATCCCCAGATTCCTGACCCACAGAGGCTGTGAAATAATGTTTACTGTTGTGTTACGCTTCCACATTTTGAGGTGATTTGTTACTTGGCAGTTAGATACTAGACTTCATACTATTCCACCAAAAAGTATTTGACTATGTATTTCTAAAACGTAGAGGCTCACTCTTAAAAAAAAAAACACAGCCACAATAGAAATAAAAGTTTAAATTATTTACTATAATAAAATATCCAAGCAGTCTAGTTAATGACACATGAAGTATTTGAATTAAAAATATTAATTGAATTAAAAATATTAATGTCTGCAATCTCTTTTAAAATAGACCAAAAAATTAAACGGGTGGATAGAGGTATAGATGGCTAGTTATGTGATAAGGCAAATGTAGCAAAGTATTTATTATAGAGTCTAGGTGGTGGGTATATGAGTGTTTACTAGAAGATTCCTTTACCCTTTCTGTATCTTTGAAATTTTTCATGAAATATTAAGAGAAAAATCAATCACTGGGGCTTCCCTGGTGGCTCAGTGGTAAAGAATCTGCCCACCAATGCAGGAGACTCAGGTTCAATCCCTGATCCAGAAGATCCCGCATGCCAAGTAGCAACTCACTCTGTTGGCCATAACTGTTGAGCCTGTGCTCTAGAGCCCGGAACCTCATCTACTGATCCCACATGCTGCAACTACTGAAGCTCAGTGCCCTCGAGCCTGTGGTCCACAACAAGGGAAGCCACTGAAATAAGAAGCCTGCATAAGAGAAAAGCTCACGCAGCAACAAAGACCCAGGACAGCCAAAAATAAATACGTTTTTTAAAAGTCAATCATTGTTTAAATTTCCAATTGTCTCAAAAGTGTTGCAGTTTTTTTGTTTGCCCATGTCAAGATCCAGATAATATCCACAGGGTGAGATTAGTAAATATGTAAGTTCTGTGTTCTTCAAATCACAGTATTTTGGTGCCTTTTTGTTATATCAATAAGTGTTCATGCTAACACAGGGCAACAGAGTTTACATCCCCCAGCCGGCTCTTGATCCTGAAATTGAGCTCTTTAGTCTTGCAAGCTGATGAACCCATTCCTAAAGGAGACCTGAGTGATGGCAGCAGCAGCTTCTTTTTTCTTTTTAATATTTCTTTTTAGTTGTTTATTTGGCTGTGCCAGGTCTTAGTTGCAGTACACAGATCTTCCTTGGAGCATGAAGATCTTTTTTTTTTTTTTTTAGTTGCAGCATGCAGAAATTTTAGTTGTATCATGTAGGATTTAGTTCCCAACCAGGGATCAAACACAGGTCCCCTGCATTGGGAGTAAGGAGTCTTAGCCACTGGACCACCAGGGGAGTCCCAGCAGCAGTTTCTGACTAGGGCTTCCTGACCAAGGTCAGTGCTACAGGGTGTGTTCTGTACTCTGTCCCTGCAGGGGAAGCTTCAGAGAACAGCCTTCTTAGGTCAGTTTTTACATGTCCTGAGTGTCAGTCCTATAGGACTAGCCTAAAAGTGAGGCATGTGTCTAGTGCAGCTACACAGAGCCCCACCCTCAGAAGTGGGGAGTTTAATCCTCTGCAGTTGCCATCATGTAATTCCTTTTTATTTTCTATGTACTGCTGCTTATTCAACACACATTTTTGTGATTATTTATTTATAGACTGCACTGGGTCTTCTTTATGGCGCCAGGGTTTTCTCTAGTTGTGGTAAGTGGAGGCTACTCCTCATTGTGAAGTATGGGCTCTAGGTGCACGGGCTTCAGTAGTTGTGGTACATGGGCTTAGTTGCTCCACAGCATGTGGAATCTTCCCTGACCAGGGATTGAACCCATATCGCCTGCCTTAGCAGGCAGATTCTTAACCACTAGACCACCAGGGAAGCGCACCACCTTGTAATTCTTCATGTTATCTTTGAATTTGTGTTTTGTAAGCGAAGTCTGCTGGGACAATGGAGCAGCCATCAGGAACTCAGAGCCTGACCTGTGTGCATTCTCTCTTCCCACCGCTCTGTCTCCCTGAGACAGGCTCTGAGCTGCCTGTTCTGCCTCCTGAGGGCCCGGGCTTCAGGAGGGTCAAGGTCCACTACACACATCCCGTGGCCTCTGAGGGCAGGGCAGAGTGGCAGCTTCTCCCTCCTCAGTTGGCAGTCCCTGGCATATTCAGCAGGTGACCAGCAGAGCGAGTGTTCTGCCCACCATTAATCCCAGTTCTTGTGTCTTCTTGGAAGAGAGGCTGCGTCCCCCTGTAGGGAGCAAGCCTGTGGGAAGGAGCTATGCCTTGTTGGACTTCTCCACCTCAGGCCAAGGCACCAGTTGGCCCAGTGGTTGGTGGGGAGAGAAGGAGAACCTGGCAGCCAGCAGCCATGTGTCACCCAGGCGACAGTGAGAGCTTGGACTCACCCCAAGGGTATCCCTTGCTCTAGGGAGCATGACGATGAATAGCAAATTAAAAACACCATGACAGGTCAAGAACAATCATGGAAGAAAGAAAAATGCTTTATATCTTAGTATTTTTTAAAATATTTATTTATTTGGTTGTGCCAGGTCTTAGTTGCAACATGTGGGATCTAGTTCCTTGACCAGGGACCAAACCTGTGCCCCCTGAATTGGGAGCACAGAGCCCCAACCGCTAGAGCACCAGGCAAATCCCAATATCTTGGTATTTTTAACAGTGGTTTTTTTCTTTCCTACTGTTTGCTGTTTGAATGAGGGGTCACACATTTTGATTTTGCACAGGGCCCCATACATCAGTTCGCTGTCCTGCTTAGAGAGCACTCCTTCAGTCTTTCCAAGCTTCCTGGTATCCCAACCCAGAGCAATTTCTGTTTTCTTCCCTGAATACTGATCCTACACAGCTGAAGATAACAGGGGACAGCTGGGGGAATGAGCACATGTGTGGCCACTTCCTGGATGACCAGAAATATCTAAATGAGTAGAATCTAGGAGAAGCACTGAAGCCCTACTTGGTTAAGTAGGTGGGAGTGACCAAGTTAGAGAACATTTGGCTTGCATTGTATATCCTTTGACAAGTATTTATCAAATCCCCCCATTTGTCAGGTGCTGGGGATGCAGTGGAGTCTAGAGTCAACAGACAGAGCAACTACACTGCTTTCCAGGGTGAAGAACCGAGTGTGGTGGTGGGGGTAAGATGAAGAAGCAAAGACAGTTGCTATGCAGCGTCGTCGTTTTGTGCGCATGCTTAACTTAAGCAGTCAGCTACATGGGTTCACAATAAACAAAGATAATGAAAAATGATTACTTAAACAAGGAAATTATCCTGCCCTTCATTCCACTTAATAAATAAGCAGCGTATGCTCCCTCCTGTATGAGATATGGGCGTAATCTACTTCCTTGGGTCTCGTATCTCATCTGGATGTGGTGTGAGTTGAGTGTACTTTCCATACAACGTAGTCCCTGAACCCCAAAATGAACACTGACATTTAGCCAAAGCCACAGCAATCTGTCACAACGTGGGAGGAAAATGGCATAATGAAAGATGGTGTCTTACCTTTCTTCAGTTGCTCTCAACATCAACCGGATAGGGAGAGATCCGAGGGACCCAATGGAGGAACTGCACTAGCCCTAGCCGGATACCTCCTCAGAAACAACCCAAAAATGTATCCTCTGGGACCGCTCTCCTCTCCGCGTGGACCAACAGAATTCTGCGATGAGTAACAGATGGGTGCTCCAACCATTCGGCGCTGGGATGCGGGGATGGGGTTGCAGCGTCTTCCCCGCCCACCTATTGGACGAATCGGAAAGCGTCCTCCGAGACCACGGTGTCCGAGGGCGCGCGGGGGGCGTGGCCTGGGACTCCCCCAGAGGGGAGGGCGCCGTCTGTCCTTGGGCAGAGAGGGGAGGTGACTCCGGCCGAAGAGGAGGACACAGGATGAGGGCCCTGCGGGTGAGGGCCCCCAGGGGTCGGGTTGCGGCCCCCAACTCGGAAACTCTCAGAAACTCTCACCCCTATATGAGACTCTCCCCCAATTCCGGGATCTGGGGGCTTGGAACGTGAGCCCCCTTCAGGGCTCGGGACTCCCTTCTAATAAGCCTGGGGCCCCTCTCCCCAGCTCCCAACCCAAAAGCTTTTGAGACACCCGGGGACCCGTTAACTTGACCGAAAGCCCCGAGTTTGAACTTCTTCCCTTCATCCAGGGTTCCCTTAGCATTCCTTCCCCTCTCCCTAACTTCTTAGGCTGCCGGGAAATTCCTAAAGCACCCCGATCCAGTCCTGCCCTTCCTGCGACCTGAGCTCCTCCCATTAACCCAGGGAACCGAAAAAAAAAAAAAAAAAAGAAAGAAACCTCTCGGGACTGGGACCCGCAGAACACGAGACTTGCTTCTGGGTCCGATCCTCTGGACGGTCCGATAACCTTCAAGCCAGACCCTCTAGGCACAAGTCCCGTTCGTCTAGGCCTTTCCTGCCAGGACACCCTCCCGCACTTGCGCTGTCAGTTCGCATCTTGCCTTTGAGACGCTCCGTGGGACAGGAGTGTCCCCAAGTCAGAGCCTCGGAAAGTCCGACACCCTACCCCCAACGGGACCTCCTCCGGGACTCCCCTCCAGACTCCCCCAATGTCCACCCATCCCCTCTGCACAGGTCTCCCAGGCACTGGTCCGCTCCTTTAGCTCAACCGCCCGGAACCGCTTCGAGAACCGAGTAGCTGAGAAACAGAAACTTTTCCAGGTGGGCGGGGCGAGGGTGGGGCGGGGGAGGAGCCTGGGCCCCCCGCTTGGTCCAGAGGAGAAGCTGGGGGAGGCAGGAGCTTAAGGTCTGCGGTGCTGACAGCGCCTTTCTCATCGTGTGCCCCCAACTTCCAGGAGGACAATGGCCTCCCGGTGCACTTGAAGGGCGGTGCAACAGACAACATCCTGTATCGAGTGACGATGACTCTGTGTCTGGGGGGTGAGTGCAAGGCCAGGCACGGCCTGAACTGCGGGAGGAGGCAGCGGGGCTCGAGATGGAGAGGGGAAGGGGCGGGTTCTGGCGCTAGGGTTTCGCCAGGGAATTGGATTCTGAGCTGGTGTGGGACCGTTTGGGAACCTGGGCTGACAAATACGGAGGGAGCACCCCAGGGCTTGGGCTCCTGTCCCAGGAAGGTGGCTGGGCTAGTGATGCATCTGGGGAGAAAGCCTGAAGCCTGGTCTGTACCAAGGTCCAGCATTTCCCCAGCTGAAGGGCAGTTTGGGAAGGGGCTCGAGCCTGCAGCATGGGCTCAGAAGCAAGATGGGGCTCAGGGAGGGAATTGGGGCCTCATTCAGTATCCCCCACACTCCCTCCCTAGGCACTCTCTACAGCCTGTACTGCCTTGGCTGGGCCTCCTTCCCTCACAAGAAGTGAAACCAAGAAGTCTGCAGGACACGAACTGGCATCAATAAATGTGCTGGTTTCCTGGGGAACCCAGCCCAGCTCCATGTTCCCTATTTGTGCCTCCTAGCCCATCCTTCCACCAGCAAGTCATCTCTGCCCTCTGGACAGCCCTGGGACCCTCCGACTAGACCAGGGTTGTCCCTAGGATGTCACTGCCTCTCAGCCCTCCCAGAAGCCCCACAAAGCATCCCTAGGCTGTCCCCTCAGGGTCTGGGGACCTGCTTTGTATCCTGGGATGGCAGCCCCTCTCCCTGCAGAGGCCCGAGGGTGGGGAGGAAGATCCTGAGCATACTGTATGACACCAGAGAGGTAGGGGCAAGTGAAGACAGACTCATTCAAGCACAGAAGCTGAGAGGGGCAAACAGGGCCCTGGGGGGCACAGCCAGGGGGACACTGAGACCTCCCACAGGTCTGGCTCTTGCAGCAGAAGCAGAGATGGTCCAGACTTCTTGTCTTGGTTTCCATGGGATCTGAGCAAGATCTCAGAAAGAATAAGGCTGCAGCTCAATTGGGATCCAGAATGAGAAAAAAGACTGGGACTAGGAGACACATACAGACAGGCTTCTTCTGCCTTACACGGAGGCAGAGCCACCCCCCAACTCTCAGAACAGGAGGCAGATCTCGGAGAGAGCAGCAACTAGGGTGCATTTATTTCCTTCTGGGCCTGGCAGGCTGGGAGCAGAATACAGACAAAGGCACTGGGGCATGTGGCCCTGTTTTGGCCTGGAGTTCAGGTGCCTGGGTGGTAACTGAATGGGTGTGCCTGGGTGTGGAGGGACTGGAGTGATCCTCCCAGAACTAAGAGAAGGGCCCTTGGGGTGTGGAAGCCACACAAATGTTGGGCTTGGCACAGGTGCAAGGATTTGGAGTAAACGAGATGGATGTGCTGGGTGGGGGTGACTCGAGGGGCAAGGCGTGTTGAAGCATGTTGGGCCCTGGCTGTTGACTGAGAATCCAGGTGCCAAGGGCTGAGAGGACAGAAAGGCCTGTGGGTCAGCAGGACCCAGGAGGATGTGACTGCAGACAGAATCAGCCCTGGGGGAGCCCGAAGAGTCCAAGGTGACTCCTACAGCGAGGTGATGAGGGGCAGGCCTGGGGCTCCCGTTCAGGAGTACATGGTCAGCTGCAGCCACTGGGGAAAGGAAGGGACAGACAGTGAGCAGCAGGGAACCCAGGAATGCCAGCAGCCCTTCTCTGCTCTCACCCAGCGGTCTTTGGGAAAATGGGAGGGAGGGAGCCCTAGCTCCGAGCTGGTACATGGGGCTGAGGGGAGAGGCCCCCTGCTAGGAGCCCACATTCCAGGGTGGAGATGGGGGTTCTTACCTCCTGGATGTTCACCTGGATTTGTCCAGTGCCGTCTTTGTCGAGAGATTTGAAGGCACCTGGGGAAAGGAAGGGTTGGTGGGATTAAAATATACTAATATATGATAATACCAACAGCTAGTAGTCTACCTACTCTGGCAAGCACCTGTATAAAGTGCTTTCCATGTATGAATTCATTTAATCCGAATTTGGGAGATAAGTCTCATTTTAAGATAAGGCACAGAAAGGTGAAGTGATGTGCCTGTGTTACATAGAGAAAAAGGAAACTGGGATTGGAACCCAGACTGCTACTCATCTCAATAATGGCCTCCATATCTTGACCTTCACGCCCCTCATCACCCTCTGTCCAAGCCCCAGCCCCCCACCAACCTCTAAGCTCCACACCCTCCAGTTCCAGCTGAAACAAGCTACTGGAAGGAGGCTCTGCATTTCCTGCTCCTACAGTCTGTTGTGGTCCCCACTCCTGCCCTGAAACTCATCTCCATGTTCCCCACTCACTGCCAAACCTGTATGTAAACAGGTGCCCACAGTCTGTGTGGCTTCTCTCACTCACGGCTCAGTTACCACCCTCGGGGGTCCACGCGTGTGGTACCCCGGACACTCCACTCACAGCTGGCCCTCTTGCTGGTAAATCCCAGGCCATTTCTTGACCCTCTCATACATGACTTTTGGCATTATCTGCCCTGTTGTCCTTTCTCACGTTCCCTTCATGTCCCCAACACACCTGCCCATTTTCTTCTCTGCATGCTCTTAATATATTGTCCGCCCTGGGCTCTTGGCATGCCAGGAGATCTTCCTAAAGGAAACCTGAGACCCTGTTCTTCCCCTGCCTAGACCCTGTCCACTGTCCCCGTTAGTGTCTGAGCACCTCCAAACTTGGCATTCACAGCCCTGCATGGCCTGACCATCCCACTGCTCCTGCCCCCTCTCTCAGACAAATCTCAGTTCAAATTCTAGCTTTGCAACTTCCTAGCTAAGTGGCTGTGAGCAAGAAATTCACCTCTTTGAACCCTAGGTTCCTCCTCCATGAAATACTCTAACCAAAATCACCAAGAGCACCATCTCTTCTTTCCTTTCTAGGCCTTCACACAGGCTGCTCCCAATGCAACACTGCTCCCCACTTGCTTGCTGGGGTCACTCCTTACCCATCAGGTCTCAATTCACACATGCCCTCCCTCCTCTAGGAAGGCCTCCTTGATCACTTAAGCTGCATCAGCTGGCTAGTTAAGTTTGAAGAGTTTCCAGTCACAAATCTAAACCTGATCTACCCTGACCTTCCCCTCACAGCCCCCATCACTCTGCACAGGCTTCCCCGATCCCAGACTTAACCATCCCGAGCTGTCACTGTCTGGTAATTTGCCTCTCCTGTGGACTGTGAGCAACATAAGGGCAGGGACATGGGCTGTTTCAGCCCTAACACTGGCCACCTCAGCATCAGGCTCAAAGGAGGCTTGGCCCATGAAGGCTAGACAAATCCCCACCTGGGAAGAGAGCTAGGGTGTCACTTACGGAACATGGCATCCAGTCTGACCAGGCAGCTGATGAAATTGTCAAAATCCATGTTCCCTCCCTCATCTGAGTAGCGCCGGATGATCATGTTGTAGAGATGTTCATTCAGGTGGAATCCTGATAACGATTTAGTTAACAGGTGTAGGGGTCACATAGCCCAACCCTCTCCCAGCCCCAGGACTCAGGCTCAGACCAGATCAGTGGGGGCTGCCTCACCAGTCCCACCCCCAGCCCCACCATGTTCCTGCCAGCCACACCTGCTGCCTCAAAGGCCCCTGGGAGTTCACTGCTGCCAATGGTGCCTGAACAGTCAACATCAAACCGTTTGTATATGGCCTGTGGGGACAAGGAGGTCAGGATTCAACTGAACCTCATGGGGCATGGCATTTCCAAGGCTTGGGGGTCTTTGTGCCACTCATTTCAGAGGCTGAACACACCTGCCATTTTTTAATGTTGTTCCACAAGTACTTGAATTCTTCGAAGCCCAGTTTGCCAGTCGTGTCACTCTGGTGGGAGGGTGTTAAGAACAGCCATGCCCAGAAGCGTGGACAGTGTCCGCGGTGATGGTAAGGGCCAAGCAGGGGGGCCTGGGCTAAAACCGCAGCTCCCACCCGCCCTCGTCCTGTCACCTCGGGTGCGGCGTCACTGTTCGTTCTGCCCACAGGAGCCTTAGTTTGTATTTCTAAATGATAAAGACTCTCTTTACACATAACCTCATGAAATCCTTGTTCATAACATTCTTTGATAGTAATTAGAACATAAATGTTAGGACATGTAAAACACCAGGGTATCTTAGAACTCTAGGGAAATGAGGTGATAAGAGTAAATACCTGTTGCATTTGTGATAAAAAGTGAATGAGATATTGGTATAAAGCCTCAACTCAGGGCTGGCACTTGATAAATTCTCAGTAAATAGCAACAATGGCCAAGACTTATCACATGACTTCAGATAGTGCTAAACTTCTCAGGAACATCACTTGTCTCACTAAATCCTCAAGATACCAGCCCCATCTGTATTATATCTGGGTAACAGAGAAACAGCTTCAGAGCTGAAAAATCTACCTGGGCGAGATCATAGTAACAGTGTGTGCAGACCACTTACTGTGTGCTACCCACTGTGCTAAGCCTTTTGCATGAAATGCCAATTTGCTATCACCATTATCATTCATCCAATTTTATCGAGAGGCAAACTGAGGCACAGAGGGGTTCAATAACCTTGCTAAGGGGCTGAGCTGCATTTGTTTCACCTAGGCAACACATGTATGTGATCACATGACATGTATATATATGTGTCTATAATGCTTTGTGCAGTATGTGCCTGTGTCCAAAATCAGTGAATGATGTATGTGTGTTCCCATGCACACGTCTCTATATATCTTCATGTATGTGGGTGTGCCCTTATATGTGTGTGTGTGTGTGGGGGGGCAAACCTATGGCAGTTACAAGGTGGGGTTATAAGGTTATAAGGTCAGTTGAATGATTGCCTCTCTAGGTCCTGGTTTCTTCATCTGTAAAATGGAATATAATAATCATACCTGTCTAACAGGGTAGCTTTCAAGTAAATGTAAGTAAAGTGCCAGTTATGACAGCTGATGTTATTATGTATTGCCACATGTCCACAGGTGGGTGTGTGTTCTAATGTACACATGCCCACATCTGTGGGTATGAAAGCTACACCCTGACTGCCCCAGCCACTCTCGCAGAAAATCCCTTCTTGGGAATTCCCTGGCAGTCCAGTGGTTAGGACTCCCTACTCTCACTGTCAGGGCCCCGGTTTAATCCCTGGTTGGGGAACAAAGATCCCACAAACCACACAGCGTGGCCAAAGAAAATTCCCTCATCCCCGAGGCCTCCACCAGACTACCCTCAAGGATACATCCATTACGGCCACCATGCTGCGACATGTGTCAATGCCAAAGCCATCAGTCTTCAGATCAGGATCTGTGGGATACAGGTTGAAGGTCAGAGGCCAGAGATCACAACTACCCCAGCCGACATGCCTCCAAACCTGCCCTGTCTGTTGACACCGGTCACTCACGTCGGGTCACCACTTTGTTGAGAATGTTCATGAGTTCTGTGGCGCTGACCTCCATGTCCTGGGGGGAGAAGTTAGGAACGGGTCAGGGGTGACTGAAAGGGGTCTGGGGGTGTGATGCAGGAGGATGGGAACTTTGGGATTGCCATGGTGGAGTGTACATGTAAAGGGCAGCCCAAGGGAAGGCATGGAAGGGTTAAGGACGGGTCTGGGATCCCCTGTGTACTTACATCTCCAGCCAGCTGGGCAAAAAGCCTCCGGAACTGCCGGACCTCCTCACTCTCATTGGCCTCGATGTTGGAGTAATGTGTGCGAGGGGGCTGCAGAGGGAGGAGATTTTAGAGCAGGTAGGGGGAGAGGTGCCCCGGCCGGGACAGCGGAAGGTTGGGAAAGTCTGAGTGGGCTGTGTGGTGAGTGACCAATGAATGAGAGGTGGGCAGTGAACAGGGAATGGATACAGCAAAGTCCGTAAAGAGTTGGATATGACTTAGCGACTGGAAAATAATAGCTAAGTTGGAGGATGTTACAAGGGAAAGATTCAGTGAGATAAATTTCATAAGGAAAGGGATGGGGCTTCTTCAAAGGGGCAAGGATGGGTGTTGGAAAAGGCCTCAGAATGAGAAAACAGGTGGTGGCTTACCGGGGGCTCTGGGTTGTACTGCGCAGCCGCCTCACTGCAGGAAACATGGGCGGGGTAGGGGTGGGGTGGGGTTAGTGCCAGAGGCGGAGCCTCCAGGGGGCGGAGCCTCCAACCGGCAGCCAGCCCCCACACCCCATCCCTCAACCCCTAGCTCGCCACCCTGCCTACTTGTTCCCTCCGCCCTCATCAGTCCCTGTCCTTACCTGTCCCTATCCTTGCCGCCCTGGTTGCGCCCCCACAGTAAGATCCCCCTTGCCAGAGCACACCTACATAATGGCAGATTCCTCAAAAGACCCAGCCCCTTCGAGGGCTCGCCTCATAGAAGCTTGGCCCCAGCTTCCCGCGGCCTCATCCTCCTGGGTTCCACCCGTGTAGGAACCTACTCCATCAATATGGCTTCTAACGTTTGTGTCTTCTCAATATCCCACCCCAGCTCCATTAGTTCTCACCCCTTCAAAGTATCACACTCAATCGCTAAGACCTACCAGGCACCTGCCGAACCCTACCCTCCCTTCACTAGGACATTTTTAATCCAATCAGTTCCCAGCCCAGCCTTGCCCCTTGATGGCCTTTCCCCCAATCCTATAAGGGCTAGACCTCTTCTGAGCACACCTCATTGACCCACCTACGAGGGCCAAGCCGCGCCCACAAGGCTAGCCTTGCCCCCAAGAAGGGATAACCAGCCTCATTGGCTCCGCCCCCTTAACGTTTGTCTCCAGGTTAGCGGAAGTAGGCCACGCCAGCCCCAGTAAGTCCCACCTCCCAAAGCCCGGCTAGTCCCATCAGACTGTGTCCCCTCAATAATCAGAGTACCCCCATGTCAAGCTCCGCCCCCATGAACTCATTAAGGTCGGCGCCCTCAAAGAGAGTCTCCTAGCCCAGGCCCGGCCCAGCTTAATTAAGGTTCCTGGTCAGTGTCCAGGTTACCCCATTCTATTGCTGGACAAGCCTCCTCCTCAGGCCACGCCCATCATCAGGCCCCCCTTACCTAATGGCGCTAATGACCCCGCCCAGGATGCGCATGGCAGTTCCGCCGCCGCCGCCGCCGCCGCCGCCGCCGCCGCCACCGCCGCCGCCGCCTCCGGCCCCGCTGATAAGGCCTCCAAGCACATTCCCTAGACCCCCGCCCAGGCCCCCGCCTCCTCCGCCGCCTCCGCCACCCTTCAAGAACGAGTTAACCAGGAACATGGCTGTGACTCAAGATTCCTGAGGAGAAAGAAAGGGGTCAGATGGCTGTCTCCTCCCTGAGCCCGCCCCTTCCCCCACAAAAATACGCATTTCTGACTGCTGGACGTGAGGAAGTAATATGAAGCCTCTAGGCGGAGACCTATCCTCCGGCTGGGGCTTAAGGGCCCATTCGGGATGAGGTCTGGGCTTCCGGGAGAGGTAGTTCTTGGACGGTGGCATAGGGACAGAAAATCAGGTTTGAAACCTCTTCCGTTCCGAAGGTCCGCATCTGGCTTGAAAAACTCTGGACTGAGTCTACGCATAGGCATCATGAAGTACCAGGCACTGGTCGGGTCAAGTGGGATTCTCAAGGTGGGGGGTCCCAAGCTAGTGCTCGAATCAGAAATCCAGAGCCCTACAGGTTTGAGGCGGGTCAGAACGGTGGGTTAGAAATTCTCCGCCTGGAGGCCCCAGAGACAGTTTAGGAAATCCAGAACATGGGTTTAAGGATTTAGGTGCAACCAGCAGCGAGACTCTAGAGAAGGAAATGGCAGCCCACTCCAGTACTCTTGTCTGGAAAATCCCATGGACAGAGGAGCATGGTAGGTAGGCTACAGTCCATGGGGTTGCAAAGAGACGGACACGACTGAGCGACTTCACTTCACAGCAGCGAGACTAAACTCATTGCTGGATCTTTGGGTTCAGGTCTAAGACTGTTAAGTGTTGAGCCCCGGGGCCTGGGATAACGGAGTTCCTGTTAGAATTGAGAGGACGGATCGTGGTCCCAGAGGCTGCACCCAGGGCTGAATTTACTGAGTACCTCTCCATGGGCTCCTATTTTAGATCCTGAGAGGAAGGGCGGAAGAGTCCCCGGGGCGGGATAACTAGGCCGGACAGATCTGGGAGCTCGAATCTGAGATCAAGGGTGTGATGGATCCCTGAGGCTAAGATTTTAGGATCTCTTCGGGTCCGGAGGCCTCCAGGGCCGGAATTACAGAGTGCAGGGGGAGTCCGGACTGGGCGCTCACCTCTTCGCTCACGCGTCCGCCGGTCCGCTTGTCGGTGCAGCTCTGGGGCCTGCGGCTGCGTCCGGCTCCGCAGGGCGGGGCGGGTGACTCAGGCTGCCAAGGCCGGGTTAGGCTCTGGGGGGGTGGCCAGCCAGCATCCGCGCGGTCCTAGAGTCGACCTTAAGACTGCGCATGCGCTTGTCGGCCCCACCGCCTGTGACTGGGTGCGGTTGCCCGGGCTCCACCCTGCGTTTCCAGTGTCTTGCATTCCCGACACCGCCCTGAGTTGACGGATCTTAGGTCTTTCCCTACTCTATGCGGTCCCAGATGCATAAACCTCTCTGGTCTGAAACGGGTCACCTCCAATCCTGCACTGCCCTCCTTAAATGACCCCTATCAGGTCTCCCTCACAGGACCCACCTCCTTAAAACGCACCCGGCGACAACCCCTGCCCACCATCCAAGAGGACACGGAATGACCTGGACTCTCTTCAACCTACAACTGTTCCTGACCCAGCTACTGCAAGGCCTCTGGACCAGCGCCCCGACAGGGACCTCCTTCAAAGACCTGACTACACTGGTGTCTCAACTGTGGCTCCAGGGAACCTTCTCCAACCTGACTCCAGACGAAATCGATTTCTTTACTCTCATTCTCTACATCATTCTACATCCTAATGAGCACTGTTCCTCCTCAGATTCAAACAACCACCAACTTGGGGCCTTCTGCCCCTCGCCCTGACTGGCCTCTCCCTACCTCTCTAACTATAACTGCACTCCTAATCTTAATCCTTGCTATAGGCCTAGTAACTGTCTCCCCTCAGGACTGGCCACCTATCCTTCGTCTTTCCGGGGGTATCGCCTACGTTGCTAGCTGGGTTCTACTCCTGGGGTGCTATTTCCTCTGTGCTGTCTAACTAACAGCCCCATGACTCCCCTGCTCCTTATCCTTGCTGCACTCCCCAGCCTTCTGGCCACTCCGTGCCCCTACTCAGACATTTAGTCCTACGTACATTCCTCATGTTATAATACAGCTCCAAAACCATGCACCATGAACCTCAGGGGCGGGAAGTCCAAATCCCTACTCACTGTTAAAGAACAAAAGAGAGGGAGTTTCTTGAGTACCTGCCATAAATCAAATGGAAGAAACATATGTTTCTATCCCATTACCCACTGGGGGTACTCAGACGGTGGTGGGGTACTAGATCAAAATCGGGAAAAGAAACAAGAAGAATTCATAAAGAACATAATTTCCTGGTTACAGGAGACCCCTGAGCCTTATAAACGCCTAGACCTCCTTTCCCAATTACGGCCTCTCCTAAAACCTCCCTCTGGCAACCAACACCTGACCCGCCTTCTCAACTCTTCCTTCCAATTCTTCCAGTACACACAACACATCTCAGTGTTGGATATGCCTGTCACTGTCTTCCTCACCACATAGAGCCATTCCCTTACCCTCAACCTGGCTGTCACAGGGCAACCATACCTCCCCTTCCCAACAGAAAACTACACAACTCATTGGGCCAGTCTCTGACAATGTCCTACTCGCAGCCTCTTCAAACCTAACCTGTATTAACTACTCTAGTCCCAACTACACTGGTCTTACAAACTCTGCTCCCTCCTTCTGTTCCACTTGGGTTCTCTGGAACAGCACAAATAATTGCACCAATCCTGGAATCTTCATTCTCTGCAGGACCTATGCATATTCATGTCTCCCCTTGGACCCCCCTGGACTCTGCATCTTGGTCTTCCTGACCCCGGGCCTAACATTCCTCAAAGAAGAAGAGGTAGAACAAATAGTCTACCCCCAAGGGAAACTTTCCCACAGGAAAAGACGATCTGTCATAGCCCCCCTCCTGATTGGGACTGGCATAGCAGCAGCCCTAGGCACCAGGATTGGAGGCATCTCGACCTCTGCCCATTTCTACTACAAACTGTCCTAAGAACTTAATGAGGACATGGAGCAAGTAGTGGAGTCCTTCGTTTCAATCCAAAGGCAAATTAACTCATTAGCTTCTGTGGCCCTACAAAATAGGCGAGCCCTGGACCTTCTCACTGCAGAAAAGGGAGGGACCTGCCTTTTCCTAGGAGAGGACTGCTGCTATTTTGTTAATGAAACAGGCATAGCCCAGGGCAGAGTAAAAGAACTTAGAGACAGAATGGAACGCTGCTGAAAAGAGTTACAAAACCTTTACACACCCCAAAACCTGTTCCAATACATGCTCCCTTGGTTGCTCCCTTTCCTGGGGCCATTGGTACTTATCATTCTATTCCTCTTATTTGGACCCTGTCTCTTCAATCTCATTCAAAGGTTTCTCCAAGAACGGATTCCAGCCATCTCTCGAGATCAGGTCAAGACCATTCTTCTTCTCGAGAGCCTCACCCCAAGCTCAGAAAAAGGAGACCCTGGGCCCTAGGACGATCTTCCATTCCAGACCCAAAACCATTGCCCCTATCCAGCAGGAAGTAGCCAGAGAAATACAGCACCCTCTTCCCCATTTTTTTTTTTTTAATGACCTCAGGGTCTGGATGAAGGAGTCTTTTGGGCCTAGAAAAGAAAACAAGTGTCAAAGGCCCTTGCTGAATCATCTAACTTTAGAGAAAACAAAACAGAATTTTAGGTTCCATCCTGATGCTCTAGGCCAGTTGCATCTATCTGGGACTTATCACCCTCTGCCCGGAAACCTTCCACCCCCTACACCTGCCCAGAAGACTTACCACCCCCTGGCCAACTACAAATGCCATCTCAACTAAAGAATACCCCAAACATCCTGCCTAATTAATGTTTCCCTTATCACTTCCACAAACCTCTCTATAAATATGGAGCCTCCCTGATCCCTCTGGGTGCTCAGCCTGGTCCGACTGTCGCCCCTCCTTGCATGAATAAAGGTAACCTACTTCTGTTGACTGGAGAAGGAAATGGCAACCCACTCCGTACTCTTGCTTGGAAAATCCCATGGACAGAGGAGCCTGGTAGGCTACAGTTCATGGGGTCACAAAGAGTTGGACACGACTGAGAGATTTCACTCACTTCTGTTGAGGTCGTCTTTCCTTTTCTGCCTTGGCCTGAACTATACATTACAATATCTACTACTGTGGTCAAGAATCCCTTAGAAGAAATGGAGTATCCCTCATAGTCAACAAAGGAGTCTGAAATGCAATATCACAGTAATCCAAGTCTATGCCCCAACCAACCAGTAATGCTGAAGAAGCTAAAGCTGAATAGTTCTATGAAGACCTACAAGAACTTCTAGAACTAACACCCCCCCAAAAATGTAATTTTCATTATAGAGGACTGGAATGCAAAAGTAGGAAGTCAAGAAACACCTAGAGTAACAGGCAAATTTGGCCTTGGAGTACAAAATGAAGCATGGCAAAGGCTAACAGAATTTTGCCAAGAGAATGCACTGGTCATAGCAAACACCCTCTTCCAACAACACAAGAGAAGACTCTACACATGGACATCACCAGATAGTCAATACAGAAATCAGATTGATTATATTCTTTGCAGCCAAAGATGGAGAAGCTCTAGACAGTCAGCAAAAACAAGACTGGGAGCTGACTGTGGCTCAGATCATGAATTCCTTCTTGCCAAATTCAGACTGAAATTGGAGAAAGTAGGGAAAACCACTAGACTATTCAGGTATGACCTAAATCAAATCCTTTATGACTATACAGTAGAAGTGACAAATAGATTCAAGGGATTAGATCTGACAGAGTGCCTGAAGAACTATTGACAGAGGTTCATGACATTGTATAGGAGACTGATCAAAACCATCCCCAAGAAAAAGAAATGCAAAAAGGCAAAATGGTTGTCTGACGAGGCCTTACAAATAGCTGAGAAAAGAAGAGAAGCTAAAGGCAAGGGAAAAAGGAAAGATATACCCATTTGAATGCAGAGTTCCAAAGAAGAGCAGGGAGAGATAAGAAAGCCTTCCTCAATGATCAATGCAAAGAAATAGAGGAAAACAATAGAGTGGGAAAAAATGAGGTCTCCTAAAAAAAAATTAGAGATACC